GGGGCTGCGGGCCGCTCCCCGCCCGCCGTCGCAGCTGCCCGCCTCCGTAGAGCCCTTCCTGCGCTCGGAAGGCAGCTGAGGAATTATGTCATGTCTGCTGGTCGGTAGAAATAGATCGTGTTTTGTGCGTAAAGGTCATCGCGGCACCCACTGTTGGTGGTAAATAACCACGTTTTCGCGACTAAAGACGACTAAATCAGACCTGACCTTACTTGAGCTCTTCTGAACTACTCGTGGGTTGTGGGTTCAAAGCCATTTTCGTTGTGGGTAGGGTGGAGGTGGTACTGGCGCTTGCCATATGTGTGTCTGGTTGCTGAGCAACAGAAAAAAATGCTAAAGTGATTTAATTCTGAAGGACTCATTGTAGCAATAAATGTCTAAATTGGAAAGGTTGTGTGTTTTCATTACCTTTGTGGAGAAATTCTGATTGGGAGGAAGGGAAGAAATGACTGTATCTGCTTTTGTCATCTAATGGTGATAGCTGGCTGTGAGGAGAGCTTCTAAATAATTCCTTTTTTGTTTAATTCTTTCCTATCTAGCTAAACATCCAGAGATAAAAGCGTTGATGAAGCCAGACTACAACTTGATCTGGGTGGTTGTGCTGATGGTTCTTGCGCAGTTGACTGCGTTTTACCTAGTTAAAGACTTGGACTGGAAATGGGTAATCTTCTGGGCATATGTTTTTGGAAGCTGTATTAGCCACTCCATGACGCTGGCTATTCATGAGATCTCTCACAACAGTGCCTTTGGCAACAGCAAAGCAATGTGGAATCGATGGTTTGGAATATTTGCCAACCTCCCTCTTGGTCTCCCGTATTCCATATCCTTCAAGAGATACCACATGGATCATCATCGTTACTTAGGTGGTGACGGGATTGATGTGGACATTCCTACCAACTTTGAAGGCTGGTTTTTCTGCACCCGTTTTAGGAAGTTCATATGGATTGTTCTTCAGCCTTTTTTCTATGCAATTAGACCTCTCTGCATTAATCCCAAACCCATTACTCGACTTGAAATAATCAATTTGTTGGCTCAGCTTTCCTTTGATGTCGTGATATATTATTTATGGGGAGTCAAATCCACTTTTTACATGCTTGCTGGTTCAGTACTTGGACTTGGGTTGCACCCAATTTCAGGACACTTCATAGCTGAACATTACATGTTTTTAAAAGGACATGAGACTTATTCCTACTATGGGCCGCTTAACTTGCTCACTTTTAATGTTGGCTATCACAATGAACATCATGACTTTCCCAACATTCCTGGCAAGAGCCTTCCAATGGTAAGTTTACTTCCAGGGTTCTTAGTTTTTCTTCACATAGGCCCTACTTTAATTTGAAAATCAGGTAGGAAACTGATAGAAGAATGGAAGTTGGAAGGTAAAAAAAAAACACAAACCCAGATCAATTTCTAAGTTGAGTGATGAAAGGAGTAATTACTTACCGTTCTAGTGGTGTCCTGAACAGGCTTCCAATGTGCTGGGTGCTCAAGCCTCTCATAAAAGGAGGGAGGAGGAAACGCATGGTGTTACACTTTGCACTAGCTTTTCTGTAATGACAACAGCTTTCTGTTGTCTTTCGTTTGTAAGTATGCAGAAAACTAGTTAAGAAGTTACAGACACCTTCAGAGATTTGTCATCTTGGTCTTTGAAGTCTTAAGGACAATATTGTAGTGCATGCTTATGCTTGAGTCTCTATCACTGACATTCTGTGGTGGGGAAAAGACTGAGGTACTGCTAATGTTTGTTGTACTGCTGATAAATGTTTAATAGCTTTCTATTTTGGAGCAGCTCAGTTTCCTCTAGTGAGAACCTTTGAACCCTAAATAAGTATCAGCTGTACATTGACAGAATTGAGGCTTCAAAGCTAAGACTTAGACCTGCATGAGTAGTAGATATGAATTTTCAAACTGGTTTCTCAGCAATTCAATCTTTGCTGGTTTCTTTTAAGCAGGAGCTTAATTCTCATCGTATACGTGTTTCCCAATTGGAGCATGGGAGCACAGGCTTCCAGGATTACACCTAAAATCCTTCAGAGAAGTGTTTTTTCAGCAGACACTAAATCTGCAGTTTGACAGCAGCTGTGGTGTTGGTCTTGTAGCTTTGTTAATTGCACTTCATAATAGTAAGACCTTGTAAGCTTGTGCCTTTGGAGTCTAAACTTGATTGTTTCTGTCAGTGGTGGAACTGTAGATGAAATAACTACTCTAGCATGTCTTTAGCAGGGCAGTTAAATTCTGTGATTCGTTTGTTTCAGACTTGTTTTGTTTCTGAAACGACAGATTATTTCTCTTAATCATAGATTTAATCTTTCAAATACAGCTGAGGTCGCTTTAACTCTCCTTCGATACGTAGCTCTGTGCTGGTGAACCAGCACCAGTACTTAAGTTATAAATGGGGAATGATCTTTTCTAAGTAATGGCAGAAGGAAGTACCCAGTTCTGCTACAGGACTCTTAATCCACAGCTCTGATAAGAAAACAAAGCCTTCTTTTAGAACAGTGTAGTTAACTTGATTGGACTGGACTCTGCTATGCTGTGTGTTAAAGATCACTGAAGTACTGAACACTTGATTCCAGCTGGGGTACTGGTGAATAAAAGTATACTGGCTTAAATGCGCTAGTCTATAGCTGTGATGATGCATTGAAATGATCTTCAGCTCTAAACTAGGCATGCAGATGCTTTGGGTTTGTGCTTATACAGATTAATTTTTCTTCTTCTGTCTAAAGCTACGGAATCCAGTGAAAAATCAGTTTTGTTCTGTTTAGGTTTTTAAGGCTTTAGGTGTCTGTCCTTAAATATCAGTCAGGATATCCAACTGAATGAAACTCCAGCTCTGTAGGTTTAAAATAGTGGTCTAGTCAGCATGTACATCAGAATAAAGTCTTTGGAAGCGGTTTATATTCATTCTTCAATGTCTGTCCTCAGAAGTAAGATATTTTTTTCTTCTGAGTGCTGAGGTTTGACACTACATGTAAAAACAGCTGTGTTAAACATCTCTTCCTAGAATTTCTAACATCCTTCTTAGTGATACTCATACACATGTAAGTTGGCACTGAACTGTCACCCACTTCCACTAGCAACCGAACTGCTTTTGTAGCTTTTGTGAGCTACATCATTCTGTAGGCAGCACAGTGAATTGACTTTAGAGTGTTAGCAGTTTGTTCTGATTAGCCTCAATATAGAAGTTTCACATGAAGTTTACTTAACCAGGGAGTTGCTTTTACCTTCAGGAAATTTTTACATTGTGGCACTAGTAGCCTTTTCTGTAGAATCTTAACATCTAAAATTAAACTTCTAGTGCTCTACATTAAGTTACAGGCTGAGGATTGTAATATTGTCATGATTGGTGCTAATATAAATAGTACATAAACCTTGTATCTCCTCTTTAGGTGAAGAAAATAGCAGCTGAATACTACGACAACCTGCCTCAATATAACTCTTGGATAAAAGTACTGTATGACTTTGTGATGGATGACACAATCAGCCCATATTCACGTATGAAAAGGCAGTTAAAGGGTGAAGTGAAACAAGATTAAACTTCTGGCAACCAAAACTTTGAAATGTCTGCTTGCTTTAAAGTGGCTGGTATAAAGTCTCCTGCTATAAAGATGTTCCCCAGTGTCCTGAATTAAGATCTACAGCAACATAGCAATGCATCCTTAAGGATTTTGTAGCAGACTCCTACCAGCTATAACATTCCTCACAGTCCTCAGATTCATTGGTTTAATGTGTATATGTTTGCCTAAGGATCAGTGTTACATGCATAATGCTGAATCACTCTGTTACAGAATTTACTTTGGCAGGTGTTAAATCTATATAAAATAATCTGTCTGACTCTGAATATTTTAGAAGTTCTCAGTGTAGTACACTGCCCACAACATGCTATTTAAATGACTATAGTGTTAAGATGCCATACTTAACCTGTTAATTCTAAACGTACATGATTTGTTAACTTAAACCTTCCGTTGAACTTGTTTCATAACTTATGGGTAGAAGAACTAAATTTGCACAGAAATGTTAAGTCTGCTTTTGTTTAAATGTCACTTGAAGCATTGCTTTAAAGTTTGATTTTTTTTCTACTGCAAGTACCTTAAAGGAGCAATCTATCAAAATGAAAGTGGCATATTTAGAATGGCTCATGTGACTTCCTCGTAAAAAGGTGGGGAATTCAAGGGTATTGCCAACTTTGAGTCCCCACCTACTGCCTAAGCTGCTTGTTTTAGCATAGAGCTTGAGCAGCTAGCATTTAGTCTCATTAGGTTTTTCATACTGGAAGAAGTCTTGTTACAGTTTGGGGTTTTTCTGTTCTGCAAAGAAGAACAATTAGGCTTGTCCAAATTGGTTCTGCTGTTACCATGGTTTTAAATGCTCAATCTATAAATATTTACACTCGTTTAGAAATTTGGCTTGTATGGAAAACTGAATCAATTGAGGCAGATACTGTTGAGGCAAACAAGGCTAGCTACAACCCCTGACAACTCTACCTATTAAGCATGTTAGTCATTTGTGTACACAGAAAGGTTTTGCTAAATGATCTTAACTTTTTTCTCCCTAAACCTACAGTACCCTACATAAACACTTGTCTGTCACATTAAACGTGGTGAGAGCACAGGTGGTGACACCAAACTTCCTGCGTAAGAAGTTTTTTAATTGGGAACAGAGAATGGATAGGCTTACTGAAGAATGAATCTAAGTACCTTAGCACAGTATATTTGCCTTCTATCATCTAATGCATTGATGATGGCTTTAAGCTGTCAAAGATGGCTACAAATCACCGTTAAATCTCAAATGATGATCCTGTGGTATGTTCTTCACGTACCTGAAAGATGGAATCTGATGAATATGGAAGTCTCAGCTACTGTTCATACTGGTCTGCTGTAAGTAATTTAATTTTTAGATGCCTCCAGCTCCTGCATTTTGTGGGGTTCTGGTTTCTTTTTTTTGAAGAAGCTGAGTGCCTGAGAAGAATGTGTTAGTATGTCTTAACCCTGACTTGACTGCAGTCCTGTTTCTAATGTGTGTTTTGTTTTTTTAAACGTGGGCCCTTACCTGTGGTTAAGTAATAGAAATGGTATGAAAGTGCGCTAGCCACTTACAAAATGACTTCATTATGATTCCAATAATGTGCCAGCTAGCGAGCATATTGCTCAGGGTACAGTGTAATGTTGAAATACACTTCATCTGGTATTTTTACATGTAATTAAAAAGCAAAGATTAAAGTAACATTGGGTGAATTTCTGACTGGTCCCCTAATGCTGAAGGACTTAACCTTTAGAGAAATTTGGTATTTTTAAAGGAGAGGCAAGACCTGTTCAACTGAGTGGCAGTATAGATGAACTGTAAAGAATCACTGCCTTGCCTTTCTACTGGGAAGAAAACTGACTTTGGTTGAAATAGACTAGAATAGGCTTAAGTTCCACAGCAGTTTCTTTTTAAGCTACTTCTGCATGACTGTTTCTCAATTGAAGAAGTGAATGGTGGAATTAAATCTCTTCGGTGTTGATGGCTTACCATAGCTGAATGAAGGATGGGATGTGTCTCAAAAGTTTTACAGCTAAAAGCTTAAGCTGAGAAATCTGTTATCTTAAGTATTCATCTAGGATAACTGAGAACCCAGAGTTCTTTCACACTTGGGCTTCGTTACCTATTTCATAGAATCACTGATGGCCCTTACTGCCCTCCCAATGGGTAGTGCAAGTGTCAGTTCCTGCTTTTCAACTGGACTGAAGTTGCCATCTCCTGTTTAAAATGGCAAATGTTGCTCTAAGGTGTCCTGACTATGATCTTCCAACTCCAATTATAAATATCCCATTTTTGTGTTAAGAGCTGTAGAATAGTGCGGAATTTTGAGAGAGGTATCTGTGTTGCCATAATCTTTCTGAAGGAAAGAATGCTGGAGAACACTTAACTGGACTAGGTTAATCTGAGGCAGTGAGACTTATGCTTGGATCTAAACCATGGTCTGATTCTTGCAAGCATTGGTAACTAACCATTCTTAGGCATATAATCCCTGTGTAATACACAAAAGGCCTTGGCATCTAACTTCAGTAGTAGGGATTTTGCCAGAAGCAGATCATCTGAAAGTTAACCTGTATTGCAGTGCAGTTTTGTCCCTAAAAAAGTTAAAAGCATTTCTGAACCCCTGGTAAAACGAATAAAGACCAGCTGGACTACTTGGCTTTGTTTTGATACTTCTAAACAAATAACTAGTTTTCTCCAGTCATACTTACAACATGGTGTTTATTCCAAAGGCATGGCACAGAAATAAGAAGCATTAAATTAAAAAAAAAACCACATATGAACTATCTGGTTATAGTTTTCATTAATGCTATTAAAATATTTAATTCCTTAAAAACAATCTGGCAGAAGCAGGTTAGTATTTTTAAATACTTCATCTGAAAGTTAGAGGGAGCTTTGACTAACCAGTGAAGAACAAATTAAACCTAAAGACCATTAAGAACCCTGACAATTAACAAATCTATTCATATGGAATGAGTTAACATTGTCCTTTATACATGCTTGTTAGGGTTTGTTCCCTTCTGTGTAACTAAAGCATCCTAGCTTGTCAGTTTGGCAGACCTCTCCTTTATGTGAAATTATACAGGAGTTTAACTGTCAAAACGCAGCTGCCTGGGTCAGCTGTATTAAACATGTCATTCAGGTATTTTAGCTGCAGTTAAATTGTGCAGAGCTCTGAATCCCCTTCAGGCCTTTCAGAGTAACTTACAGTTTTCAGAATAAACTGCCTTGCATGGCTTTTAACCTCTGCCTAATTATTTGAAGCTGCTTAAGTGGAGTAAGTAATGCATCCTGGAGTCTGAACATACTAGGCATGAGTTTTCCCACAGGACAGGCGTGGGTATATTCTTTCAAAACAACTCTTGCCTCTGGCATTCTTGTTTTGCTGTTGAACCTGTCTGCTTTACAACAGTGGCCAATTGTTGTGTGTTAAATGGGTGCATCCTTCTGGCTACAGAGCTCCCTGTACTTCCAGATCCAGGGCAAGACTTCCTACCTGGAACCGGAGGTCAGTTGAAAACTAGTTAAGACTTTTGGTTCAACAACCAATAATGTCAACACTATAGATTACAGGCTGCCTGCCATACTAATCCTGTTGGACAGACAGGAGAAAAGTTGCTTTCAGGTAGCAATTTTGCATAAGTGGTCTAAGACATAGCTTTTGGAAAGTGTACTCTGTAATTTGAAAGACTCTCAGAAGACTTAAGGCAAAGCAAGTTCTACTGTTTTAGCTTGCACATTGCAAAGCACAGGAGCCCCTTGTGGGTCTGGCAAGATTGTTGTTTGTTTTTTTTCTAGGACCTTGCAGAAGCAATCTGACAAATAGGTGTGTCTAAATCATGTAGATGTGCCTTTAGTATAGCAACCTGCAACTTTACATACACAATTATCTCTTCTCTATCAAATCCTTTATTTCACAATCAAGCCTGTGGTGGTATGCAAGACTAGTGAGGACAAAAATGTTGAAAATTTCCTACTGAGCCAAGAATGAAGACAGCATTTTTTTTTTCCTGCGGACAATTCCCTGCACTGCCTCTGCCCCTGCCCCCTATCCATGCTTAAGTTACCAACTAATGTGCTCTGGGACAGAATCATTATTGTGATTTAGATATGTGGCTAGCCTCAGGAAAAGTGAGAGAAGAATGGTGTGATGAACAATTTCTTGATCTTGTCCCAACAGAAACAAGATGACTAGAGGGAAAACCTCCTCTAGGCATGTCTGCTAGGAGGGCGGTAGCTGCATATGCAGAACAAAATAGTGGTCTCTCTATTGCATGGAAAGGCTTGTTCCTTAAAGTGATTCCCATTTTCTTTCTGCAAGTAGAAGGGATCTTGCATTTTATCTCTTACCAAGTTTTTTTTTCAGTGATAAGTACTATAATCTCAGCAGAATTTCCCACAAGAAAAAGTAGCAGTGTGGGTGCAGCACTTTCTTGTGTGAATAAATTAGTTCAGTTGCCTACCCGTCTGCTCCTTGACACACACATAGCCCAGACAAGGTAAGCAAACAGCATGTGAACGATTGACCAATCTGGCATTTTCTGCCTTTCAACTTAACTTCAGATCTTGTACATTCAAACCCTCCTGCACCCCACTTCCTCCTTCCATTATCACATGTTAAGGAGAATGATCATCAGACACCTTCTATGTAAAACAGATGTTTTGTGTTGGAACTCTTGTCAAGACTATAATTGTTACTACTGCTTGAATAGTAATACTGTTATTACTACTACTGGAATAGTATTTCCTCTTTGGTCTTACTTTACAAGTCTCACTTTGTTTCCTTGATCAGTATATACACAGGAATACTACTATCATAAAAGGAAAGGAAGAGAAAATTCTTAGGTGAATATGCTATGGCTTACTCCTTCATAAGCTCATCAACTGCAGTATCCTTGAATATGGTAGCAGGATTTTCCTCTATATATCCATAAAGGAGAAATCACTTGTGGTTATTTTTAACTATAAAGAGTGGCTTGCTTGCGACATCTTTTTTCCAAGGTAGGATGGTAACTTATTTGTAGATTTAGAGCTAAAACAGGAAAAAGTTTATGTAACATAAGTGGTTCTTTTATAGCTCTGTATGTGACATCTAGTTATGATTTTACATTAAAATTAGTCACTTCACTGATATGTACTAATTGCTTCACAGTAACAAACATCCACAAGTGAAACTATATGGAGATAAAATTACGATCCTTGATTTCTGGGAATGACAGTAATTCCTAAAGCTCCAAGCCTGATTTACACTTACAAGCAGACACATCATCTTCTGCTTTATATGCAGGGACTTAATTTGTTAGTCATACGGGCCCCAGCTTGAGTCAGTCTCAGGCCTTCCTAGAAGAGGGAGGGAATATCATACAGTGTTGTGCAAAAATCACCATGGTAAGTACAAGCTGCCATGAATGGCAGTGTTTTTAAAACAAGCCTGTGGTGATTAGCTATTTGTCATAGCCTCCCATGTTCACCTTGGGGAAAAATGTGCAATTTCTTCTGTCACATGGCAATTCAGAGAAGAATCTAAGTTGTAAGGGGCTGTCCCCTCTCAAGGCAAGGTCAGCCTTGATGTTAGATCAGGTTGTTCAAGAGGTTGATCTTACCTCTTAAGTAGGTAGGGGGTAAGCTTACAGAATAAATATTGTTTACAAAAACTATTTTACTCTTTTTATAGAAGTTCGATGGCTTTGATAACACAAAACTTCAAACTTTGCTAAGTTTAAAAATTAAAGTCTTTTAGCAGAAATAATCCATTTCTTGTTCTGATCCTTGGCTGATGGTTACAGTGCTTTTAAGAAGAGTAAGACTGATCAGAGATAGGAACTGAGATTAATGATTAAAGAACTTCACGGAATGATGACAGTGGTTAAAAAAAACCCCACAACTGTGAGGGCTCAGAAATTAGTTGCTCAGATTCTGTCACATTTCAGTGTTTTGTCTTAATACTTCCCAGTTTGCTGATGCTGAAAGTTATGACCCTCTTTCCAAGCTGAAGTTTCTTGTATTTAAAAAAAAAAAAAAGCTTGAGGCTCTGGGCCTGTTTGTTAATTCATTCTTCCAGAGAATATGAAAATACTTAAGCTAAGAAATTCAAATCTGTAATAAATTTTTTGTTGTTGCACATTTGTCTGTTTAAAAAAAAAAATTAAGAACCAGCTTGTTAAGTAACTTACTGTTTTAAATGTTTCTTAGGTGGCTGTTAAATCATAATATCATAGCACTTCTCAGATTTCCAAACTTTACTCTCTCCTGGATAACTTTAAGACAGCTCGCCATCTGTGGATAGCTTCTTTTGATAACGTAAAGGGAAACTGATAGAAACTCTTAAGAATCTGTGCTGGCATAATTGCCATGTGTCACTGTATTTGGGAAAGGCATGATTAATGATGTAAACATACAGTGCAGTACTTTCCCAGACTACTTTCACAGCTCTGTTTTCCCAGTGATTTTTCCAGAGTCTTTGTTCCTGAAAACAGCTATTTTCATTTATGGTTGAAAACTGCTGTTTGAGCAATGTAAACACTCTGAAGAATTAGCCTTTCTGCCTCTGTGTGATTTCTGATTAAGGGCACCGAATATTGTATGAGAACGGTATTAGCTCTTCAGTACTAAAAGCATTCACTTTTAAAACAAATGGTGATAAGCAGGAAGTATATATTGTATCTTTTTATTATGGAAGTAGTTAAGGATGGTTTAGAGCAGTAGGTTATGATGACCTTTTTTAGGTACACTTTAAAAACGAGAGAGATGTTCAGGACAGCTTTTTTCCAACTTGTCTCTTGAAATCAGGCAATGGATATCACAAAACTCTACATTGGCAGAGAGTAAGTCTCTTTTAGGAATTGTCCAAATGTATCACCTGCACAGTGACTGACGTAGTTCTTCATACATTATTTGATCCTAGCAGTGCCAAGATAAGAGGGGGAAAAAGACTTCAGACAATGGTAAAAAAATCATTTGACATTTAAAAGTAACTTTGTTAAATGATAAGATATAAAGTGAAACAAAACAGCTATGAGCCACTAGCTATATTTAAAACCATTTTCAAATGAAAAACTAAATAAGGAGAAAACCCTGCCTGACTCATAAATGAGGTTTGCAAGTGACAGTCAGTGATATGTAATAAACAGAAGCATCTGGCAGAGTTCTTTTTATTTAGTATTGCCATGCTAGGTTCAGATCACAGCTTCACTAAGAAGATACTGCCCTCTTTGCAAGGGGAGCT